CTGGGGCTTGGGAAGCGACAGTGCAGTTGGAGTGGCTTCCCCACGATTCCCCGCGGATCTCCCCACTGCTCAGCCCTGCGCCCTGAACGCGGGTAGAGATGAGTTTGCGCTCAACCCCCACCGCCGGACAGAACTCTCTCCGGCAGAGACCTCGGAGCGCCCCGAAGCCGCGGGACGCCGGGCCGCAGCCCAACGGCCGAGTCTGGAAGTAGACGAGAAAAAGAGGGGGAGGGGAGCAAGGAGCGGGCGGCAGAGGGAACAGCAGATTGCTCCGAACCAATGGCAACGGCAGGACGAGGTGGCACCAAATTCCCTTCGGCCAATGGCAGGCCGCAGCTTTCAGGAGTCATTAGCATTTCCCCGGAGGCAGGGGCCGGGGTGCGGGCGTTGGGTCGGCAGCATCCCGGCTCCGGGCTCCGGTCTCAGAGCTCCTCGGCTCCCAATCCCCTCCCCTCTCCCTCCCTCGCCTCCACGCGGGGCTGCCTGGGCCGGCCGGTTCCGCACACTTTGCCCCATTTTGGCAGCGGAGAAAAGGAGTCTGGGGAAATACCGGGCACGGCCCGACCGCTGCCAGTGCTGCCCTTTAAATCCCCGGCCCCGGAGACCCACGACAGAGAGGCAGGCCTGCTCGCCCGGCCGCGCTTAGCAGGTTTGGAGCGCGGCTTCGCCAGATCGCCTCTCGGAAGCGGCCTCGAACCGAAGACCATCCTGTGGTTCAGAGGTACCGCTTTCCGCAGTCTCAGCCCGCGGAAGTGACCCTAGCAACCGAGAGCCGAGATGCCGGCCCACATGCTGCAGGAGGTGAGCTCACCCGGCCCGGCCTGCCGCGCGGTAGCAGGCCGGGCTGGCTTCTCCGAGACGCGCGATGGGAGCCAGTTCGGGGCTCCGGGGGGTACTTGTACGTCTTCCGAGCTGTACTGCCCATACCCTGGTGGGGTATGGATTGTAATTGGGAGCGCTCCTTCCCTAACACTTACTGCATGGTTTAGAGCTAGAAAAATGCGGTCGTGCCTATCGCTTTATGTATGCGCACGGGGTTTCCTTTGTGCATTGCTGAGGGTGCGAGAGTTTCACCCTCTCTTGCCTCTTCACCTTAAGGTTTCATTTCCAATCTCTGCACAGTGTCTGCAGACTTCCTTCTATTTCATCTCTGGGTGCACCCCACTGCCAGGTAACTTCTCCCCCGCCCTGGGCAGGGCAGTGCCCTAGCGCCCTTTCCCCAGCTGCGGTACACAGCTGAGTCCCCTGCTGTCCTCACACTTGTCCTACACCTCCCAACTCTCCCCTTGATGATCTCCTTCCAGGTGTCTGGCTCCTACACCACCACCACCACCATCACAGCGCCCTCTGGGGGCTTGCAGAACGGAGTTCAGAAGCTCGACAAGGCTCCGCAGTACTTGGAAGCAGACATCCGCCCCGAAATTAAAGATGACATACACGACCCCAGCTACCAGGACGCGGAGGGCCCCCCACCCAAGCTGGAGTATGTCTGGAGAAACATCATCCTGATGACCCTGCTGCACTTGGGAGCCCTGTACGGAATCACACTGGTTCCCACCTGCAAGTTCTACACTCTCCTGTGGGGTAAGTAGGTCCCCTTGCCCCCCAGCCAGTACCCCAGAGTTCTCGCTGCTGTTGGCAGCTGGGTGGGATCTTGGACACAGAGCAGCAGGCCACATCTTTTTGGTGGCCTGGGAATACAGCCCAGTGGGTGGGATGCAGGCATATCAGGTCTTGGGGAATGAGCCTTGAGCCTCTGCATGGACGTTGAGGCGAAGACCAAGACAGAGAGTCAGCTGCCCTTAGAAAACTCTGCTGCGCTGAGCCATTGGTGGGGCTGCCTGTCCCAGGCCCATCTGCCACAGGAGAACTGAGGTCTCCTCCTAGGGGAAATGCCAGCATGGGTACTTGGTGCCAAACCCTGGGCTTCACAGACTATGCTGAGCCAGTCAGGGAGCAGAGTGAGGGGAAACTGCTCAGGAAGGGATATCATTGAAAGGAAGGAACAAAGAACTACAGTATTTGATGCCTGGTGTGGTGGTGCGAGTCTGTAATCCCAGCATTTGGGAGGCTGAGGCAGGAGGATCATGACAGAGTTCAAAGCTAGCCTAAACTACATAGTGAGAACCTGTCTCAAACAAACAAAACACTACAGTATTTGGCCCTCTTGGCCGGGTCCGGCTGGTTTGTCATGGAGGGAGATGAAGATGGCTCCTGTGTGACCCAGTTGTACGGATATGTTGCTGTCTCACTCCGGGTAGGTCTTACAGTGCAGCACATGCCAGTCAACCAAACGTTCTTAGTGTAGGACGGTAGAAGCGTCTCATGTTCCACTCCACAACATGCCTGCTCCCACCCCTCTACTGAGGGCACAGCATGCCAAGGCCCCACCCTATCTAAGCCTGTCCTCCCCACACGTGCACATCCCTCCTTGCCAGAGAAGAGAGCCTCTAGCAAGGTAAATGTTCCCACTTTGTCCTGACCTGCCCTGAACTTCAGGGATTCCCCAGTGTGGGGCTGAGAGCAGTGCCTGTGCCCGGGACCCACACATGCTTTGCAGGGTATTGGGAAGAGCGGGTACGGAGCTTGGGGTCAGTGAGCAGGACCCCTGAGGAGCACAACTGGAGGTCTCCTGGAGCAGTCTCTGCTGCCGGTTAGTTACAAGTTGTGTAGAGGAACTTGTCAGCCAAGTGCCCGCTGTCTCTTTTTGGGCGTTTTTAGGTTTTATAGGTGGTGAGGTCTGGTCCCTGGAGCTCTGTCTGGGAAAATCCTTTAAGAGCCCCAGGAAACTGTCACTGAGAAGATCCTTTTTCTCAGAAACACCATTATTCAGTGTACCAACAAGGTTCGAAAGTTAGATTCCTTAGGTCAGTGTGTCATCTCGGCACTCATTCCTCCTAATCTCGGCTGAGCCTTACGTTGTTCTGTAGCCTCTAGAAGAGCCTGCAAGGCAAGGACGAGGAGGTATCCTGGCAGCACGGGAGCCAAAGGGCAAAGCTCCTCTAGCCTTCTCCATAGGGGAAAGCGGTGAGGTGTCATTTTAGCCACCAGTGTGACACTAACAATCCTTTACTGAAGCAGAGGGAGAATGTTTCTAACTGACCCAAGTCTTTTACTTGGTGGAACTGGTATTTTGTTCAGAAGGGAACGAGTATGCCCGGGTTCTTTTCACAATTCCCCTGTTAATGAGGATTCCTACGTACTTTAAGACCCAGTGCTACATGAAACCATTGGAGATGCTTCCTTGGCCCTCATCTGAGTGCTTCGACTTTGCCCAAAGTCTCATTTTGTTGTGGGGATTTTTGGAGTCGGGCATCAAACTCGGGACCTTGTGCTTTTGAGACAGGTGGCAGCACCACTGAGCTAAGTCCTCTGCTCATGTTTTTTGTTTTTTCGAGGCAGGGTCTCCCTGTGTAGTTCAGGCTGGCCTGAATTCACTCTGTAGCCTAGACTAGATTTGAACTCGAGGCAATCCTCCTGCCCCAGCCTCCTAGGTGCTGGGATTACAGCCGTTTGCCACCATGGCCAGCTTTGTTTTGGGTTTTTGAGACCGGGACTTGCTCTGTAATTTAGGCTGAATTTGTGGTAATCCTCCTGCCCCATCCTCCCAAGTGCTAGGATTATAGGCGTGTGCCACCACCCCTGGCCCAAAGCCTCTACTTAGAGATTCCCCAGCTCTGGCCCCACTGGGCCTTACCAGATTCAGGTGCAGTCAAATACTGAAAAGCAGCCTGAAGATCAGGCCTGCTTAAGGTTCATCAATCATCAGACGCCAGGTTCTGTCAGTCATTTGGGACCTTGAGCCCAGCTCAGAGGAAATGTGCCAGAATTTTACTAGGACAGATGCTGGCTCTGTGGCTCTCCTGGGGATCCTGTAGGAGGGACAGGACCAGGTGCAGGAGGGAGGAGAGGGAGAGATGAGGCTATTTGGAAACTTATCTCTGGCTGGAGAAGAACACAGGACAGTTTGTCACAATATGTGCTATCTTCAACCACAGCTAAGTTCTGTGGCCACTGAGGATCCTTTGTTTCCAGCTGCCCCCAAGGAGTGATGTGTCGTTAACAGTTTCCATTAGGGCCCCAGCCCCTGCCTCTGTCTGCCCGTCGGAGGAAGAGATGGGTACACCCTGTACCCTTTCCCTGTTGGAGAGTACAGGGTGCCTCCTGACTTTCAGGTCTGAAGGATGGTGAAGTAAGACGGTGTTTCAGAGTTATCTAGAACGGGTGTTGGGCAGAGTATGGGCTGGCAGAGGGATGCAGTGAAGGAGAGACCTGGGAATAGGTTGTTCAGGGTGGTTGGTAGGTCTATAACATGAACTGAGTGGTTCCAGAAAACCTAGTTCTTTTAGTTTTACTGTGTGACCCTGGATGCACACAGCATCTGTTTCCTCAACTGGAATGTGCAGTATTAGGAGCACCTACACCAGTCAAGGTGTGCAGTACATCTGCGAATATAAGTCCTCGGTGATGCTTCCTATGAAAATGTGGCTGTGTCCAGGACTGATGCTTCCTGGCACCCTACTTGCTGCAGGACTGAAATTTTGGTATCAGCTGGTAAATAGCCTCAGCTCTGCATACCTAATGTCTTCACACGAGCCTCTTCCAGGCAGTCAGTTCCCAGATTTCTCTGGCTATCGTTTTCAGAAAGCCCCTTGGTCACGGATTCTAAGCTTGAGAAGAGTGGTTTGGTCAAAGGAGAAAGATCCTGGGTGATGCCTTTTCAGACTGACAAATGGCTCAGTGGGGAAACCCTGTTTCCTCTCCTTTCTGTCTCCTTCATTGCTGCCATTTCTGAGCTTATCTCCACTCCTAAGTGGAAAGGCTGGAAGGTGATGGTATTTCCTTTTTTTTCAAATGCCAAAAGCTAGGGCTCAGGGGAAAGCAGATCCTCAGCCAAAGCATAAAAGCTGTGGCACGAGGAGAGTGTCCTTGAAATGCTTTCCCAGATGGACTTTGCATATTGCTGACTCCTATGACTTGTCCTGGCAGCATATCTATACTATGTGGTTAGCGCCCTGGGCATCACGGCGGGAGCTCATCGCCTGTGGAGTCATCGAACTTACAAAGCACGGCTACCTCTGAGGGTCTTCCTGATCATCGCCAACACAATGGCCTTCCAGGTAAGGAGCTGGTGTAGCTGAGCCATCCTGTCTCCACCCTGTTCATGGTACAGGGTGGAAAGAAGAGAGCTGTGCTCAGAGAGGCGTTCTAGCACGGTGGTCATTGATTTTTCCCTCTCCTGTGGTCAACTCAAATGCTGGCTCAGTGCTGCTGTCCGTCAATCATAGGGAACTTCAGAGTCACTGGGACGGGAAGTGGGAGGTAAATGGGCCATGAGGTGCAGGTTTGTTTTTATCGCAAGGTGCATCTCTTACCACAGTGTGGCTGCTGTCCTTCAGTATAAGGGCCAGGTCACAAAGCCAGGCACTGAGTTTGTTTTCCGGGACAGAAAGTGGGCGCTAAACTCACATCACAAGGACTCTCCTAGGACCCCATGCACAGTGGGATAGGAGGTGATGTGTCAGTCACAGCAGACACCTCTCTGCTGTACCAGCTATGAGCCAGGTTCTGTGCTAAGCACTCGGCATAGACTAGTTCATGAAACCATCACAGCAAGTAAGTCCTAGTGTTAATTTTCACACGAAAGATGAGAAAACTGAGTCCTTGGGAAGTTGGGCACACCAAAGTTGTGGTCCTACCTGGGGTTGCCATTCTGGCTGTCAAGTATGGGGTTTGATTTGGAAAAGTTTGTAAGAGACAAAAGGAAAGGAGTTGGGGAGGAGACTTTCATAGCTACTAGGCTCTAGCATTGGGCGGAAGACAGCTCCTGGTGCTGGGCTTAGCTTGCAACAAGAGCAAAACAGGAAGCCAAATTAGCCCCCTTTGTGTTAATGAAATCCCCGAAACTTACCACCTTTAAGCGGTAAATTTTAAACCCTGAGATTCCTGATGGCGTTCTTGTGGGGCAAAAGGAAAGAAGAGACAAATTACATTTAATGGAAGGAAAGAATCCCAGACAAGCCCTGAAGTCCTCATGAGTTACATGTGGCCTTGTTATTGGGTTGGGTGAACCGTCCCTCAAGAAGGCATCAGGGTAGGGCTCCCCAAAGCTCTACTCAGAGACTGGTGTCCTTGGACCTGCGGTGCCTACCTCCCTCTCTATGCCCCGAGATTAGGGACCCCCTGAGGACTTGTTGTACATTCCACAAGGTTCTTTCGTATTAAAGCTGAGTGCTGGATTCACCTCCATTCTCCCCACACACAGCCTTGAGGGTGCAGTAGTGCCATTCCTGTGGTCTGGGACTGCAAGGTGCTTGCTTTTCCCTGTAAACTTCTAGGCAAACATGCAGAAGAAAGCGTCTCATTTGTGGCTACTTTGGAGCCAGACTCGGGATGCTCATGCAGACATCTGAGCGTTTATTCTCCCAGGAGGACTTCTCTCCTCAGGCCTCTGTTCTCTTTCTCTGCCCTCCAGAACGATGTGTATGAATGGGCCCGAGACCATCGTGCCCACCACAAATTCTCAGAAACTCATGCTGACCCTCACAATTCCCGACGTGGCTTTTTCTTCTCTCACGTGGGTTGGCTGCTTGTGCGCAAACACCCAGCTGTCAAAGAGAAGGGTGGTTTGCTGGACATGTCTGACCTAAAAGCGGAGAAACTGGTGATGTTCCAAAGAAGGTGAGTGGCGGCAACGTGGGACTGGGACTGTGGCTTTGGTTGCCTGGGTTGGGGACCCAACCTTTTCTCCTTAGGACTCATAAAATAAAAGCTGAGGAATTTATTGGGTCTGCATGGCTAAAAGCATATAAATCCCAGGTTTTAACATTTCACAGGGCCACACCCACCCTTAATTTATTGCTCTGTTGATTTCTCTGAGTTATCTTAATGAAATCAATTAATACAACAAGCGTTCGCCGTCCTAAAATAGTTATGGACATAAAAATGATTACAGCTGAGTCCTTCCCTTCATCAAGTCTATAGGCAATCACAGGTGGAGCGATAAGCCCAAATGACCACAATATAGGTCAGAATGTGCTCTGTACCATGAGAGGTTCAGCGGAGAGGGATTTGGTGCTCCAAGGAGAACTCCAGGGAAGGGTTTATGAAAGAAATAGCAGCAGAGTCCACCTAGGGATCGACTTTCACTTCTGTGTGAGGAGGGACAGTGCAGAAGGAAGAACAGAATGAGCTGTAGCACCATCCGTGGGGGAGGCCCTTCTGCCAAAGTATGGAGCATGACGGCAAAGGCCCAAAAAGAGGGTCTCGGGGAGTCCTGCATGAGGATCAGGATCTGATTCTTTTACAGTAGAACCTCTAAAGATTTCTCCAGCCCAATGTGCATAGTCAGGTGTGCTGCGGATGGGCTGCTTTTGGGACAGGGATGGGGCTGTAGATACAAGGTGGAATGTAGGAACAAGCCAGACTGAGGAAGCATTGGCAGCAAGGGAAGAAGTTGGACATTGGCAGAGGCACTGTGATCACTGCTGAGGGATGCAAGCCTCTGGTTCCCTTGCAATGTCGAAGACCAGGCCTGTGTGAGTGATGAGTAGACTGGAGCTAGTGCAAGGATATGCCCACAAGGGTCAAGCACACTCTGTGTCTTCTAGGGAAAAGCAGAGCAAAAGATTGGGGATGATTGTAGGAAATGGAGGCAGAGAACTTAACACGCCCTCTGTGCAAAGACTGGGATGACCAAGAGAAAGGAGCCCAGAGGCAGATGGGCAACAGAATTTGGCTAATGACTTTGTGATTTGACCAGCGTGGCTTTATGCTCTTGTGAAAAAGAATGAATTTCGAGCCAGAAGACGGGTGTTCAAAAGATTTTCCATCCATTCCTTCATGTTAGTTTTTGCCACCTGTGCTCTTGGCGGTGGAGAAAAAACAGCCCAGGCTAGTGAGAGAGAACCATACAGATAAGAATGAGAGTTCTCCCTCCACAGACTCTGCTTTTCTCTCCACATAGGTACTATAAGCCTGGTCTCCTGTTGATGTGTTTCATCCTGCCCACGCTAGTTCCCTGGTATTGTTGGGGTGAAACTTTTCTACACAGCCTGTATGTTGCCACTTTCCTGAGGTACGCTGTTGTGCTCAATGCCACCTGGCTGGTGAACAGTGCTGCCCACCTCTTCGGATATCGCCCTTATGATAAGAACATAGAATCTCGGGAGAACATCCTGGTTTCACTAGGAGCTGTGGGTAAGTCAGCTGTCCATAGCAAGACCACATCTGGTCTCTGCTGATAAAGGTATTTGGCTAGAAGCCGTAGAGCTAGAAAGACCTGATTTTATGGCTAGTCTGTAGCTCAGTTTTTCACTGTAAAAAACTAGGGGGTCAATACATTGAAAAATCCTTAGGGGAAGCAAACCACTCTTACGTAAAATGGAAAGTGTAAACATACTGCTTTTGAGTTTAAATTGTAAAACACTCTCCAAATAGTTGTCTCTGAGCAAGTCTGTAGACTTACTTGGTGCCACAGATGCATAGATAGAAAAATATGGTCACCTGTTGGGTGCCCTGTTGCTAGTGCTTTATATTTAAATGTCTTGTAAGTGTAGGAAGTTATAATTTAGCTCAGTAATCTTCAAGTATGTCACATTTATAGTAGTATCTCCCTGTGTAGTTGGACGTACCAAGCCGTACTGTGGGCTATGCCTTGTGAAACACATCAGTGTGTTTCTTGGTGGTACTTCCCCACTGCCACTTTATTTTTCTGTCTTTTCCTGTTGTCTGTTAGGAGCTCTCCTTTCCCCAACATGGGTTTGGGAGCCCTCAGATAATGCAGACGGTTTCCTCAGAGGTGCCTGTTCCAGGATCTGGCGTTAACCATTCCTGAAGTCACTTCTCTATGATTCAAGGGCCAATTGCCATTTCAAAGAAAACAGTTCTACCATTTGTCCTTATTTCCCCCATCTTCCGGATGAACACCCCAAGTTGGCCTTGCCTGTGTGGACTCAGGGGCCTCTATACCTCCGTCATCAGAGCTGTTGTTCATCCTACACCTAGTCAAACGCTTGTTCTCACTGACATCTTCCTGTATCCTCTCAATGTTGGTCATATTTGCTATCTTTATTTTACTTTCAAACACCTCCTTCATCCTTTCCAGCACCTTGCATTGTGCATATTTGTACTTTGACCCATCTTTGAAATAAATCACCTACACTGTACAGATCTGAGGTTTGCATAGAAGTGGGGTAAACTGGACTGAGATGTCTCCCGTATTGCTAATTGAACTGTCGTGATCTTTCCTACTGGCGTCCTATGTGACCGTCAGTTCAGAGTGGCTGCCAGCCTTTCACTCTGTCTCATTCACTTCCACAGACCTGCTCTGTCCTTTTACCTCACCCTTTCTCTTCTCCCGCTGTCTTTGCTTCTTGAATCACCTCCCTCACAGTCACAGGCTCATCTTCTCTGACACAGCTCACCTTCCCCTTCAGCCTTCCTTGGCCTGCCTCTTGCTGCCCCAGTTTACCACTTAGGACCCTCCTCTCCCCAGAGCCTGGCTCTATGAAAGGCTATGTGGAAGCTAGCCATGCTCTGTCAGAACCCTGGCCCTGGCATGATCCCACGCAGTTTACACCTTGGAAAACCCGTGTGCATGGAGAGCACATTCCTGGAAAGCCCTAAGTGGAATCATTATTCTGTCTTGGGTACTGTCATCTACAAAGTGTTCAACGACCTTTCTTTTAGTTGTTTTTTTACCCTGCTCTGATAAGGGTCAGTATTGTTAGTTTTGGAAACAATTCAGAAAGATTTGCAGAGTTGGCAAAAACTCCCAATTACAGAAAATTTTCCTCTGAATCACTGTGAAACATTTATCCCAGAGTTCTTAGAAGCTTAGAGGGATCTCTTAAGTATTTTCACAGAAGTTCTACTTTATCAACACCTCCCCCACTTCAGGGTCAAAGTTCAGAGACTTAGAAGCCAGAACAACTCACTGTGACCCAGCAGTGAATGAGAAAGACCCAGACCCTCTGTGGGCCTCCTTGCCTCTGGCTTTTGCCAGCTGAAGTCCATTCTCTCAAAACCTCCCACCCTAATATGGTGGAGAAAGGAGTTCCTCCGTTGTATCCTGCTGTCTGTTCCCCAACACATGAGCCACATGTGGGATTATTTCTCGCTGAAAAATCTTTTCCCAGCAATGCCAGCTTTTCTGTAGTCATCTTATCTTCTTGAAAAACGTCCTCTCACCAAGGCCCCCAACACAAGTCATGGGTGACTAGGGCCTCTGAACTCTTTGCTTAGTGTCCTTCTGGGGACATTTGCTTCAGGAGTGAAGTCAGTGGGTTCATCCATTCATTGAGTAACAGCTGATTTCCCTGAGCTTTGAGGTGCACTGCCAGATAATGGGTCTGCCAAGAGGAAGGAGCCAGCAATCCACGGAGTGCCATAACCTCTCTCCTTGCTCTGTTCCAGGCGAGGGCTTCCACAACTACCACCACGCCTTCCCCTATGACTACTCCGCCAGCGAGTACCGCTGGCACATCAACCTTACCACATTCTTCATTGATTGCATGGCTGTGCTTGGTCTGGCTTACGACCGGAAGAAAGTATCCAAGGCCGCTGTCTTGTCCAGGATTAAAAGAACTGGAGATGGAAGCTACAAGAGTGGTTGAGTTGGGTCATCTGGGTTTCTTTTCCAAAAGCCAGACTGTCAGAGGTTTAATGTTGTGTTAATTAACTACTGAAAAATGCTACCAGGATGCTAAAGATGATATTAACCTATTCCGGTACAGTATTCTTTAAAGTGGGAAAGTTTTGATAACTTTTTAAGGTAATACATATTTTAATTAGCCAGATTTAACCATACCACAATATATGTACAAACATGTTGTACATGCTAAATACATGGCAATTTTACCTGTCGATTTTTAAAAATAAATAATAAATTGGAACATTCTTTAAAAAGAGTATTGAAAGCCAACAACTGTGCGCTTATGATGACAAACATATTCTTCTCTTCCATTTCCATTGTTCTTTGCACGGTTTCTGTCACCTTCCTTTCTCCCTCACAGCCTCCCAGGCAAATAGCTGGGCAGTCACTGATGTGTGCCCACCTTGTAAAGTGTACACAACCTTCCTAAAGGTCTGAAGGTGCTGATTTTTCTCTATATAACTCTTCATTTGATCTGCCCTAGGTGTCAAGATAAGTGGCTCAAACCAGAGATAAAATTTTCTGGGAAGTCCTCTGCTAATTGTCTTCAACCCCAGGCTTTGCTTGATGGAATGAAAAAATATACTTGGCACACAACTGGTAAAGCAGGTAGACGATCAGGAAAAAGTTAACAGGGGCAGGGTTACGGTTCATAAATAAGTAAGGATAGGAGAGAGATGGGAAAAGAGGGAGAGGGTGATCAGGCCTAGAAAGACACTGGAGCCCTCCACACAACACACCTTTTTTCTCTCCTGACTGTGCCAGAAGTTGGACAGTGTGGAACACAGTAACAAGTCAATGACTAAAGTTAAGGAGAAGGGTAGAAAATGTGGTCTCTGCTGGGAAGTATTTTTTATTGATAACAAGAAAGGTTCTTAGAAGTCTTCGGGTTAGGTGTGGCCAGAGGGGTGAATGCAGCAGCTCAGTTCTGAGGACTCCATGAGCTGCTTGTCCGATTGCTTTGATCTTTCAGCTCTCCATCCTTAGGATGTTTGTTCCCTCACAGCAATAGGATTTCTGTGGCATTTCTACATATCCGGAAATGGAAGGATTTTAAACAGGGTGAAGTTGGGTCAAACAAAAATAGTTAGACATATAATCTTTGCAGGGAACATGAAAGTAATTCATATATTTACTTCTGAAGGAAAAGCTAAGGAAACTTGGAGAGGAGGAATCAGCTGCTTGTCTCTTCCTCCCGTCACTGGCCGGAAGATAGACTAAGGGGCAGCATTTGTAGCAGCTCCTTAGATAACTTTCCAAAGGGCTCTGAGAACACATCCAGGGGATTCAAAACTTACTGAGTTATTAGGTGTCCTAATGGGACTCGTTCATTGATACCTCCATTTATTAGCTCCATTTGCTACAGACTGAATAAAAATTAGTCACTATCTCTCCAAGGCACCATGTCTTTTCATTCCTTGCCCTGTGACCATCAGCCTATTATGTACGACTGCCTGGGAGTACAGTAGGAGTCATTAACTGCCCCGATTCTTGGTTCCCAGTTCTACCCCATGTGTTCCTTTTCTCTTAAAATTGTCTCTGTTCCCTGACCTTTGCTTCTTCCTGCCTGTTTTCAGGCAGCCCCCTTTTCTGCAGACAATGCTCACAGGCTCTGAACTGATGTAATTTTGCTGGTGGAGAAGACCACTTTCCTGTGGCCTTTGGATTTCTCTGCATCTTCCCTATGCCCACCCTCCACCCATGGCTCCAGAAGTTTCCTGTAATTTGTAGAAACATTAATGACTCAGAAAGGTTCTCTGATGGAGCAAGGCCAGTAAGCTAGTCATGGAGCTTGTCAGTCCCCTAGGGGTCAAAACAGGATTCTTAGTACCCTGTGTGACCAAAGGCTGCCCCATTTGATCAGCACTCCCACTTGCTGGTGTAGTGGTTGTAGAAATAGCAAGCTTCGTAGTCCTCGCTAGGAAACACGAGAAGCAAGGGCAAGTTCCCAGGTGCCTCACACTGAAAGGAGACCCCAATCTCTGGAGCCAGGCTGTTCTTCCTATCTTTGGCTGAGACATTGGATCTGAGATGCCATGACCCTTGCTGAACACTGTCAGTGTTTTGAGGACATGGGGTCCTTCCTGTTCTGTGCCTCAGGTGTCAACGCGGAAGCCTGGCTCTGCTCTGTCGGGATTAGCAGTGCCCAGTTTCAAATGTTTTGTCTACTGTTGATTCCTAGTTGTGGGAGGGAGCAGGGCCTTCCTGTGTCCATTTAATAGAAGCTGCAGCCACCAGCCTGCACTGGGTCAGCCTTGTCTTTGACCTATTTGTTAAAGTAGAACAGAGTCTAGTGGAAGGTCAGTGTAGATCTTCTGACCTATATGCTTACCCCTTGCCTACTGCCTGGTAGGGGTTTTTAATTCTACAGGTTATTAAATGCCTGCTTTGTAATATATGGAGAATAAAATCAACTTTCTCGTCTAGACCTATTCCATCATCTGATCCATGCCATGACACTACAACAAGGCTGGAGACCACAGAATGAGAGACCCAGCATACACTTGGGTGTGTATGTAGGGTGTGTCAATTCAGTGAGGAACACTATTCCTTTCTGAAGCTCAAGTGGCTTAATGAGAAACTGATCTCAAGGGTGAATTTCTAAGTCCTCGTACCGATGTGGATTCACTCAAAAGTGACTTTCTAAGTCCCTTCCCATATGGACGACCTCGGCGCCTTACCTCTTTTCTAATCCATGTTGCATGTGAGCCTGGCCTCCAGGGAGCATTTCACCACCTCAAAACCTGCAGCAGTGGCCAGTGTCAACAAGAGACTGGCTGGAGGATTATCAGTACAGCAATTAGCAGAATTCTTCTGGGTTTCATTTTGGAAACTAGGGATCCTTTTACCAAGAGCACAAAATTGGTGAAGGTTGGAAGTGATGTGAATGTGTGTGACTTATCTTTTTAAACATGTAGTGGCACTTACAATGGTAAGTTTTCTCTTTCGTTTGCTAATGTCCTGAGTGAATCCTCTGTGTGTAGCTTACATGAGTTAGTGTAAAAGGCAAACAGCAATGTGACCATTACATTGGTGGCTAAAGCAGGCCTCTCCTACCACTATGCTACCGACTTCTCTCTGACCCTCTATTTTATAACAAATGGCTGAGATAAAGTCATTAATCTCTTCACAACCCTTCTAAGCTAATCACCTCTTAAATGTTCCACCTCTGAAACTTGCACTGGGGATGAACTTTCCAACTCATGAACTCAAACCTTTGCACTAGGCAAATTACATAAGTATAATGTGCCTCACTTTTCCTTCTGTTACAATGGGGTAATAATACTCACCTACCTCAAAAAGCAGTTCTGGGGTGTGACTAAAGCTTTTATGCAGCATTTTGGCACCCTAAGCAGAGGAACTGTCAAATCATGCAGACCTTTATCGTAGCAGTGCCCACCGTGAACATACGTGTACAAACGTTCTGGATACCATCATGAGACTACATGGTTTTCAAGAGATTCAGTACTTCCATTGGAAAAGACAGAATTTGAGAATGTATACTTATTGCCATGGAAACATATGCAGTGTACTTTTTTCTTGCCTGGGTGGGATTTTTTTTTTTTAATATGATATAGTCATTTGTAAGCTAAGACTAAATTTTTAAATGATTTCATTAATATCAATTCTGAAGATAGTTGTACTAATCTGAGATCATGTTTGTTCATAATAAAAGTGAATCTGATTACACTATCTGGAAGCTTTTTGCCTGTGGTATAGTTCCTGGGACCTGTCGCTGTGGTCCATCACCCTGTATACGTCCTGTACCTTTAAGAGTAAAAACTAGAAGCTACAAGGGTTGAGTCTTACTCCCCCAACCTGCCCTTCTGCAGGGCAGCTTTTAAACTCTAGACAGCTGGAAAGCAGGGTGGAGACTGCTCTGTGAGACTTGTTCCCATCAGCTGGTATCTTGGCATCTTGGCAGAGTGAAGTGCCAGGTTTGTCCACATGCCACGTAGTCACATGGTTCCCAAATGGAGATACTGGGAGAGGCAGCAGCAGAAGCAGTGTGGACAAGCAGTTCCTACTAGGAAGCCCTGGCTGGGCAGTCTAGTAGTTCCTAGGTCTGGAATGTCCTTGCCTGCAGGGAATAAAGGGCTTTCTGGGAATGCAGATGCTCAACACAGCTGGAAGATCAAACAGCCCAAGAGGTTGTGTGTTCTGGAGTAGAGAAGACGGCAGGATCCCTAGATGGAACAGACGGTTTCAGCGTTTTTTGTTTTGTTACTTTTAGCTTTTACTTCCTTGAGACTTCCTGTGGGAAAGAGCAGACTGTGCAGTTTGTAGAAGCTCCACATTCCGGCAGGAGCCTCCTTGACCCACACTGAGTTCTTTAAGAGCTCAGAACCAGCCCTGCCAGTTACCTCAGTCTCATTTAAGGTTGTCCTCGCCTTGGACAAGAAGCATGACTCTGAGTCATTCTAGAGTAGGACTCTCAGCCTAATTTTCATTATCCAAGGTCAAAGGTTTATATACACGAAACTTTAAATGGATGGTGCCGTTTTCCCCATCAATTAATATCTGGCTTTCTTCCTTGAGTCCCACTCTCTTCTTATTTTGTTTGAATTATTCAGACCAGAACATTTTTTTCATTTGCTCAAGAGCCCTTTCCCATCTGCTTTGTTTCTCATGAAGTGGCCTCCTATTTATTTATTTATGACAGGGTCTTTCTATATAATTCGAGCTGGCCTTGAACTCACTATGTAGCCCAGGCTGGCCTCGAACTCACAGTGATCTGAGTACAGGGACTACAGCCATGTACCACCATGCCCAGCTGGCCTCCAGTTTGTTTATTTGTTTGTTTATGTATTTATTTTTGTACCGGGAATCAAACTCAGGACCTTGTGCTTGTGAGGCAGGTGGCAGCACTGCTGAGCTAAATCGCCAGCCCCTTCTACTTTTGACATGTTTTGTATGGGAAGAGGTAAAAAGATTAAGGCACTTTTTAGGCATAAAGATTAAACAATAGGCTAAAAGAATAAAAAATGTTTTAAGATAATGGACAAGCTAAGGAATGAAATTCCTTATACCCACTGACAACCATATTTTTTCTTTTCCCTAAGAAACCAAGAGAGGCCCCAAAGTGCTCCCCAGACCGGAAAAGAAGAGGAAGGGGATGCGGGCATGTGCTTGGGATTGCAGCACTCTTGAGGTTGAGGAAGGAAGATCAAGAATTGCTAAGAGTAGCCGGGCATGGTGGTGCACGCCTGTAATCCCAGCACTCAGGAGGGAGGCAGGAGTTAAGATAATGGACAAGCTAAGGAATGAAATTCCTTATACCCACTGACAACCATATTTTTTCTTTTCCCTAAGAAACCAAGAGAGGCCCCAAAGTGCTCCCCAGACCGGAAAAGAAGAGGAAGGGGATGCGGGCATGTGCTTGGGATTGCAGCACTCTTGAGGTTGAGGAAGGAAGATCAAGAATTGCTAAGAGTAGCCGGGCATGGTGGTGCACGCCTGTAATCCCAGCACTCAGGAGGCTGAGGCAGGAGGATTGCTGCGAGTTCGAGACCAAGCCTGGGCTACACAGTGAGTTCCAGTCAGTCTCAACTACATAATGAGACCCTGTCTCAGAAAAAAAAAAAAAAAAACTATTCGGCCATAAAAAATTAAATACTGCTGTATGATACTACATGGATGGACCTTGAAAACATTATTTGATACAAAAGAATATATACTATATGACTTTTTTTATACAAATGTCCAAAGTAAGCCAGCCATCTTGGTGCAGGTCACTAATAACAACACTCAGGAGGCTGAGGCAGGAGGATCACCATGAGTTCAAGCCTATCTTGGACTACACAGCAAGATCCTGTCTCACAAAATCAAAAAACAAAAGAAAACAAGAGCAACCAATAAAACAAAATGTCTAAAATAGGCAAATGCAGAGACAAAGGAAATTGGTAGTTGCCAGATGATATAGGTAGGAAAATTGGAAGCCACTGCTAATGTGCCTAAGTTACATGGCATGAAACTATTCAAAAGTTAGACTGTACTACTGTTTACATGAAACTAAAAATAGCTGAATATACAAATACTAGCCACATGACAAAAAAACTGCTCCTATAATTAGAATCTAGGGTGACAATACTGATATGCCAATTTATAATCACTGGAAATATCCAGATACTATGTGTTACATTAATAAAAGAAGTTTAGGTCACTGTACAAACACAGATCCAACTTCCTTCAGAGTGCGAAATCCAAGTTCCCAGCCCAGCAGATAGAAGACACGATGGTAACACCAATACCAACCCATCTACGGGAGGGCACTGCACTACGTGCTGCATAGCATGTTGCCTTGCCCTATCAGAAGCACACACTCTTATTGCCCATATTTATCTCACGTGCTGAGTTCACCGAGAGAGAAAAGTGAGGTAGTGAGCATTCTTACTGTGGTCTGGCTCCAGAATGGTGGCCTTATCTCCTGACTCTTCTGGGGGTGGAGCACAGGACAAAGGAGACAGATCGGAATCTCTTTTCTACCCAAGTACCTGCTGGTGACATCCAGTTATACTCAGAGGCAAAGCCTGGTGGTTATTAAACCAGGGTTAGTTCTGTGAGGGCCTCCAGGCCAAAATAAAGAACCTATCCACCCCTTTATAGTAAGTTTTTAGATTCACTGGCTCTTGTGCCAGAAAAAGAATTTTAAGGATGTACCCATAAAAAAGAGACAGGAGAAGGGCGTATTTGGACGCACACCATTCTTGGAGTGGAGGTAGTCAGAGAAATGAGAATGAGTTGCAAGCTGGAGCAGGGCACATTCATTGTTTGCACGACGGGTGATCTAGGATGGGTCGCCTCACTGCCAGGTTACAGGGCAGGTGGTCTACTTGGGTCTGAAGTTAGACACTTGGCCCCAGTGCAGTGCTTTCCTAGAGTGAAAGAAGGGCAATTTGAAGGTGCAATTTACAGGTGAAAAGGACAGGGTGACTGCCCAGAATTTATAGACTGTTGTGAAAGGACTTTTAGGAATTTACCACTATGGAGGGGGGTCGGTCACAAGCTAGGGTGGCCTCCAGAAGCAAGAAAAAAGCTTGTCTGAAGCTGCGGCTTTTCTTAAAAGTACAACCTTAAAATCTTGGTTTCCTTGTCTCCTATCTACTTTTTATTTCTCCTATCCTACCTCAGAGTGGCCCTTGTCTCAGCCAGCAATGGCAGGGAGCTGAACTTGTGCACAAACACAAGCTTTCTTTGTTCTGAGGAGTTCAACCCACACCATCTCATGACTCATTTAACATTTGACTATACCTGAGTTTTAAGCCCACTTCTTTGCTACAGGAGATCTGACAGTTCCATTTTTCCAATCCTACTTTATCAAAGTCTACTTCTGCAAAGTCTGAGCTCCTTCAAGTACATCTTCCTTTACTGGAAAAGTTTTCCAGCACCTGAAGAGTCTGTATTCCATGGAACAATGGAAAGATCTCAGTCTTAGATTCTGTTGGCTACAAAATGTGGAAAGTGTCCCGGGGGATCCCGGGGAGGGAAAGTGCTATTCTGTGACCTACAGTTAACTTTCTATATCTTCAGTGAGTGTTGATTCTTCAGCACTGACTTTAGGGCAAATTCCACAAGCTTTAATCACAGGCTTTGAGAACCCTCTCATTTGGATACTCAGGCCTTCTCCTCCACAGTACTCTCCAGCCTGCTGTGCCTGGGCCCCAGAGGCTCACAAAAGGGCAGTGTCTGCTGTGCTGACTCATGGCGCTGCTGGCCTCAAGCAAGGACCCTCTCAGAAGTGGGAGCGGAGCTCTGCACTCTCTCACTGGTCATTTCCTAGTGGGAGCAGCTAGGGAACACCTAGAGGCAGACCAGCCTTTCACACACCTTGTGATCCAGGACAGGAACTGAGGAGGAGGAGGAAAGTGTGCTTGGGAGGCCACAGAAGGCCCAGGCTTGCTCATGGTTCCCTTTCATTCCTTTCTTGAGTATTTTGGAGAGCAGGAAAAAATCCCTTTTAGGTTGTTCCTTCCGGAGATACATGTATTTTATTAGAAGTAGAATTCACATCATAGAAAACAATTCTGTGGCACTGAGTGCTTTTGAAATGTCGCGCGACTACCAAAACATTGCCATCACTCCAGAGAAAACCCACGTCTCGTCAGCACCGAGTCCACTACCACCACCCTCAGTGGCAGCCGTGAGTCAGTCTATGCACGTACACGTTAAAGCTCTTTTGCGGAAAAGGAATCACACAACCCTGACGCCTCACTTTCACTCTCAGCATAACGCTTCCGGCATCCCGCACAGCGGTAACGTAGGGAGCACGCCATCGAACACGTGTACCTCGGCTGATTTATCCGTCCGTCTCTATGAACTCTAGCGTTCACCACCAGCCGGCTGGGGGACGGTCCTGCCCCGACATGCGGACAAACCTCTGAGCGCCCGCTTTCCGCTCACGCGGGTTCCCAGCTCCAGGGCACTGCCCCCGGCAGTTCTGCGTCCGTCATTTCAACTCTTTCCCACACTGGCTGAGCTGTTCCACATCCCTACCTAGACTGCGTGACTGCCGCCCTTCATTCTTTACTCACGCTGTCCCTTCCCTCCCCACTCCTTCCAAGAAAGCTGGTTCCATAAACCCCCTCGTCCCCGGGACAGAGGGTGGGGGATGCTGCACCGGGACGTGACTGCAGTCAGGCCAGAGCCTCCAGACCTTCACGAGCAGCACAGGACAAGGGCGGAGACGGAAGCTGCCGCGTCAGCCAGCCGCGGGAGCCCCAAACACCGCCCTGGCGGTCTCCGCGCCTCGGCCCGAGGCCCCACGGAACTCCTGAGCAGCAGAGATGAAGGCACCAGCAGGCCGCTCGGATCGGGAGGGTAGCACACGGGCGATGGCTGCGGCACTCGCTCGGG